AGAACTACGTATTGCTGTTAATTAATAATTCATATACATAATATTATTATTTTGTTTATAGGCATCAGGTGATTTATTGCGTCTTAAAAGTTCTTGGAATAGGTATCTGTTTGAAAAGGTTATCCCAGTAGCATGGAAAAAACTTTTATCGCATGTAAAAGAATATGTATCATTTGAACAAATTTATACACTTTGGCCTATACCTGCGGATGGATCCTTTCGAGAATTAAATGAAAAAGATTGTCTCTGGTTTAACCTTTTACAGAATGTTATCAATCAGATTGATCCTAATCTTGGCACTTTTCGTGGTCCATCTAAATATTTATCAATTAATGATGGACATTTGAACGACAAGAAATTTGGCAAATCTTCAGCTCTGTCAGAAATATTGGCCAAATTAAATTTTCCAATTTTTGTAAATATTCCGGAACCAATAATTGACAAGTTAGAACAAGACACTTCAAAACATAAAAGACTTTTGAATTATGTTACTCCAGAAAAAGTCTGTAAATATATTCTTGCCAACTTGAACAGATTAAATAATCTTGGTCGTCAAGAAAAATTAATTTTATTGGAATATGTTCTCAAAGCTAATGATGTTTCTAAACTTTACGGTCTTCCTCTGCTCCCACTTGAAAATCAAACATTTACTACTTTTGAATCTCAATATCGGAGTAAATTCTACATTTCTAGTAAAGATGAACATATTCTTATTAACAAAGATTATCTAGGAGTAATCGTTGATACCACAATCGGGAAAGAGCTTTTATCAATATTACAAAATTATGCAATAAATAAAAAGAATATCAATGTACAAATTCTTTCAGATATTGACTTTGCAGAATTTCTTAAAAAATCTTTACAAAAGTACAAGATATATTCTGAAAATTCTCAAGAAATGCAAATAGAAACAAATCACATGCAATGGTTATATAAAATCTGGGATCATTTGAAACAGTCAAATAGGAACTTGCAAAATTTTTCGGACATTCATCTTTTACCAATCGAAAATAATAATAATAATGTTATTACTTTGAGGAAATTAAGAGAAATGCCAAAATGCTTATGTCGTCTGTCACGTATTTCAACTTTGCTACTTCAAAAATTAGTTACTCCATTAAAATTATTGGGTTCAACCTTTATTAATGTTAATTTTGAAAAACAAGTTGTTTCGAAATATGAAGGGTAAGCATATTATGCTAGTACTGTTATGATGTTGTTAAAATAAAGGTATACTAAATAAATATTGTACATATTCAGACTTAGAAACTATGTAGTTGAGATTGATAATATTACGGCTGTCTTCTCATCACTCAGAGAAAATCCCTCTTTCCCTTTAAACATTACTCAGCCCGCTCTTTCAAATTATCAAAAAGAAGATTTAATCTCCTATATTGGTGCTTATTTGCGGCGTGAATCATCTTTTGATCAAAAAGTTGTAGATGTAATCAAGCAGCTCCCAATATTTAACGAAGCCAACAAGAATGATGCCATAAGTATCAATTCATTAAATGCATCGGGAAGGAAATATTACTTACTTCCTAAAGAAGATGAACTAACATGTGGACTCGTTATTTCGCCTTGTGCATTCTTGGATGCTCATACTTCTGATAACAATTGTTTTATTCTTGAAAACGTGATCAAAGTAAAACGATTAGAACAAAAGGAATATTGGAAAGATCATGTTATCTCTTATCTAGGTCTTCAATCACCAAATATTATGGATCAAGTGATTATAAAGCTTTTTGAAAAATGGACAATTATTAAACCTTTTCATAGTCAACTTTCTAAAATAGCATTCGTTAAAACTTCTTCAGGTTTGAAAAAGCCAGTCGAGATTTTCGATCCAGATAAAATCGCAATAAGAGAATTGTTCTTTTCGGATGAACCATTCTTTCCTGTTAAAAAATATCCAACAAATGATTATCTTTTTAAATTAAGTGAATTGGGAATGAAAAAAATAATGACTGCCGAGGATGTTATCAATCGAATTGAAGAATATAAATCAAGAATGAGTCATGACCAAATTTATGAAACACATTCTAAATCTCTTTTGCTTTTAAATTATATTGATGATAATTATTCTAGTTTTAAAGATAATATCACATTTCAAAAAAAGATTCTATCCGAAAAATGGATTCCAACATTTAATTCAGACAACCAACTTATGTTTTCAAAACATTCAGATTGTCGTGATCGAGTGCATGCAGTCCTGGTTTCTTATACATTGCCAATAGTTAACGATAGAATAGCTAATGATGACTTACGCAAAGTTCTTGGATGGGATAGGATTCCGCCAACAGAAGTTGTAATAAATCAATTATTACGCTCATTAGAAATATTTAAAACAACAAGAAACTATAATATAAGTGATTATAAAATTCGAGATCAAATTAGTTCAATTTACAAACATTTTAATGACATAATTAATCAACCGAATGGATCAGCTCATTTAGACCTTTTAAAACAAGAATTATTAGGAAAGAAATGGATTCTAAATGATGATAAATTTTATTCAACAGATAAAGTTGTATTCTCACTTCCTAGTTTTATTCCTAGTGGTTATTGGGTTCAACTTTCACATCAAAATAAAAGACATTCATTACTTTTTGAAAAACTTGGCGTTAAAAAAGCACTTAATAATGATGATTATTTTCGAATTCTTTGTAATGCAGATTTTTCCGATCCATTACAAAAAATTAGTGTAATATCTATAATTGATAAATTATCAAAAACTGAAAAAGATTTAACAGGATTATTAATTCCGAATATGGAATGTAAAATGGTAGATTATAAAACTGTTTTATTTGATGATATGGGTTCAAGAGTTAGTGATTCAATGAAAGATTTTAATGTATTAGCTCATACAGAAATTTCAAAAGATCTAGCAAATAGATTAAATCTTAGAAATTTTAGCGAAACTTTTTTGGAAGATACTATGTTTAATTTTGGACAACATGAAGAATTAACTACACGATTGAAAAATATTCTTAGAGTATGTACTAATTTATTATAATCTTTTTTTAATTACGTATAAATTAATTTGACACAGCTTTATTTATATGTTTAATTAGGATTATAATCGTAAGGAGATAGTTTTTAGAGAGTTTCTTCAAAATGCAGATGATGCAGGTGCAAGTCGATTTTGTGTTATTCTTGATGAAAGTCAATACTCAACTAAATACTTATTAAAGCAAGATACTATGGAATGTTGGCAAGGACCTGCAATATGGATATATAATGATGGACAATTTGCTGAAGAAGATTTTAAATCACTTTGTAATCTTGGAAAAAGTAGTAAATGGCTACAATATGATAAAATTGGAAAATTTGGACTTGGATTTAATTCATGTTATCATTTTACAGATTTACCACAATTAATATCAGGCACGGATGTAGTATTCTTTGATCCTCAAAAGGCAATTCTTCCTAATAATAGTTCTGGTGCAAGATTTAGTTTTAAAAATTATAATGAAGATCATATTTTCAACAAATTTAAAGATCAATTCGAACCTTTTTTAAAAGTTAAAGGATGTGGATTTGATATTGATTATAATAGAGAATTTAAGGGAACTCTTTTTAGGTTACCTCTTAGAAAAAACAAAAGTTTAATTTCAGATGAAATTGATGATATTGAAAAAGTTAAAGAATCATTAAACATTATAAAGAATGATGCAATGTCGGAATTAATTTTTCTACGCAATGTAAAATGTTTTGAAGTGTTTAGAAAAACTAGCAAAAAGAATGATATATTAGTACCTTTATGGAAAGTTGAAATTACAAGAAATGCTGAAAATCGAAAGCTTTATGGAAAAGAATTACAAGCATTTCAACTTGATGTTCAGCTTGATTTATATATCGAAAAACGAGTATTATCTATGTGTAATTGCTTAGTAGAAAAGAGAGAAAAAAAGAAAGAAGAAAAATCATGGCTTATATGTTCTGGAGAAAATAATATTAATCTGAATACATGGGGTGGAATATCTGTAGCTATTCCTGAAACGCCATCAAATCCGTTATTGGAAAAAGAAATAACCCAGAATGGAAATTTTCATGCGTACCTTTTACTTTCTATTCCTTCAGGACTTTCAGTAAACTTACATGCGAGTGGTTGGGCACTTTCATCTGACCGAAGAAGTCTTGTTTTTGCTAGCGATAGTCAAACTTGTATTAAAAATGATGCAAAATCAACTCAAAATATGAAGATTTTGGACCAAGTTCTTCCAGAACTACACGTAAAACTTTTTGAGGAATATATAAAATTAGAAGAATTTTCTAGATCTAGATTGTCGGACAACGTTAATTTTCAAGGCATTACACGATTATGGCCGATTCCAGAAAATAAAAATGTTGAAATATTGAAATATGGGTTGAAGGTGTTAGAACTTGCAATTGAAAAAGGTTGTAAAATATTTTGGTCAACGTTTAAGGATGGCACATATGTCAGTTTCAAAGATTGTGTCTTTGTAACTAAAGAAACCCCACAAGCTGTTGTTCACTTTCTTAACAAACATGAATATCCTGCAGTTTTAATGGAAACTAAACGCTTGGAAGAATTAGAAACATTAAAACCTCGAAAAGCTAGCCCAGAGCTTATTCGAAAATTTTTGAAAAACAATGAAAGCGTCTTAAATATGCAGGAAGAACATCTTTTCAATTTATTTCGTTATATTCTTGAAGATAAAAAATATGATGACCTTGAAGATATTCACTTGGTTCCATTATTTAATCATAAATTTGGAAAATTTAAACATGGTAAACCATACTACATTAGTACGAAAGAACAATATAAATTATTTCCTAATGCTGGACCGCACCATTTTATTCCTATTGAATTACTTAAATCACGAAAATTAATGCCAATATTTTCTGATGATGATTTTCGTAAAGCAACCGATATTAAAGATTTCGGAGAACCAACAATCAATCATCTCTTATATCAAGAATTACATATTGAATCGGAACGAGATTGGAATCCACAAGATTCAACTACAATTCCAAATCAACGATGGCTTGATGAAATATGGAAATACATAGGTGATAATTCATTGGAACCATATAACTCATTCCCTTTATTAGAAGTTTATGATCCAATTAATCCAACTAAACATCAACTTGTAAGCATAAAAAATGCAACTTCCAGACCTTTAGTAACATACAGTGATCATTCATCACCTTCAGGAATTATTCAAACTTTGGCAAACATTGGAATTCGATTTACTAAACACCAAACTGATAATAAACTCTCTAAATATATTTATGAATTAGGACCATCTAATGTTTTATCGGCGATTAAAAAATATCAATGTGTTGAAAAAAAACTTTTCACTAACAAGAAAGATAGAGAGGTTTTATGCCAATATTTTTGTAATGATATGAGTTTACGTACAACTACTTCAGGAGGTTACACATATCCCCTAGCGAATGAAATATCAAGACTGCCTATATGGCCCACATATACTGAAGATTCTGATGGAAATCCAATATGTAAATCTATTGCGGATCCTGATACCTATCTAATTCCAAAGCCTTCAAATTCACAAAAAGAATTTACATTTTATCCGCCGAAAAACAAGAATGTTTATTACTATAACACAACAAGCATTTACCATATGCGATCACTATTACATTTTGCAAACACTAAAGAACGAGATAAATTAGCATATGTTAGAGATATCATTGTATCTGATATGGAATCAATCCCTTCAAATCTTCAAGAATCTTATTTAAAGCTTTTAACTGAAATATTTTTTGACTCTGCTAAAATCTATGGAGTAAAAGATTATTTAAAAGATTTAAAATTCGTTCCAAATAAGCATTTTAAGCTTATTTGTGCAAGAGATTTATATGATCAAAATCATCAATTATTTAAATTTATATATGATGATGATCGATTTCTTCAAAATAGGCTTCAAGATAATTCAAATTCTTTAAAGTTCCTTAAAGAAATTGGTTTAAAAGGAGATGCTAATGAATACCTATTTATTAGATGTGCTGAAGAGATTGCAAATAAATTTGAGAAAAGTAAAGAAAATAAGGATAGTTTATCCAAACTCAGGAATATTAAAAATTCGACAAAAAAGACTGTTTTTTACTTTTACGATCATTCTGATTTAAAATTTACTGAAGAAGAATGGAATGAATTAGCAAATATAAAATTTGTTCCAATTACAAAATTTAAATTTGGTCCAAATAAATTTTTAAATGATTTATACTCTCGTTATTCTCGTTATGGTGAAAATTCGGATAATGAATTAGAATGTTTTAAAAATATATGTCATCCAAAATATGTGAGTCTTGCGTGGACACAGTCGGCATTTTTTGAAGATGAACCACCTGAAGAAATTTTAAAAAAATACGAAGATTTTGAAATACCTCTTGGTATACCAACTATTCCAACGATCATTAATCATTTAAAGGCAATCCAATCAACAGTATCCAAGTCGGATGATTGGAAAGAGTTAGGTGAAATAGGCGGTCGTTTGTTATTTGATGAGTTAGGACAAATATATAAAAAGCTAGAATCTTATAGTGAAGAACAAAAATCTAATTTTCCTAGAGGACTTAAAAGGCTTCAAATCTTTTTAAACGGTACTGATCCATTTGATTCACAAAGTTGGGTTACGGCTACAAACCTTGATTTAAGTCTTGAAAAAGATTTCAACTTTAAAAGAAGAGCAGTTGTCGAACATCTTACAAAATATCAAAATCTTTTAAAATTAGCTGGTGTGAATTCTCCCGATATCCCTGTTTGGCACAAACCTGAACCTAAAGAAGAAAATTCTAGTAAATTATCAAAGTCTATGATAGAATTTTTGAATGATGGAAATAAAACTCCATTTAATAATGTCTTATTTAATATTAATGGTGAAAATATTTATGCAAATTCATCAATATTAATTTGTGCTGCTCCATATTTTAAAGAAATATTTTTTGAACCTTTAACAAACTTTTATAATCAAGAATATGAAGATATTGAACCTGATTCGTTCCGTATATTATTAAGATGGTTGTATGGAGAACCATTATCTCAAGCCATACAAAATAATGGAAAGAAATATGATGATGGAAATTTTCAAATTTATCAAGATTTTTTGATAGCATCTAAAAAATTTAATATTGAATCAATTAAAGAGTTGATTGAATATAAATTAGTTATGTACGTTAATGAGGATTTAATTGATGATAATTTAGAAAAAGTTAAAGAATTGGCAGAGGAATATGGTTTAGAAGATCTTCTTAAATTTTGTGAAAAGATTGAAAAAATAATGAATGAAGAAGAAGAAGAAGAGGAGGAGACAGATATAGAAACTTTAGAAGATATAAGTGAAAACAGTAATAGTGCAACAAACAGAAGTAACTCGGCTAAAAATAAGAATGCACCGAAAAGGCGTTCTATTATAAAGAGTTTAAAGATTAGATTTAGCAAACGCCTTCTGTCAAAAACGGATACAGAGCGTAGATTTGGGTCTTAATATATTAATTAATTGATTGTATTTAATTTTTTTTACTGTAAATTTTTTAAAACATAGGTTTATACATGTTTTATTTCTTTTTTTTTATTTTTATATATTATTAGCTTTCTCTTTTATAATTTTGTCATATGGTTTTTGATTGCGTAAGTTTGACACTATTTCGGATATTAATGTATATAGTATTTGTCTTTGGGCACTCATATAATTGCTCATGGGGTCTTTTCGAATTTCTCTCCTTGTAGTTTGTTGATAGTGTTTTAAGATTGTATTTATGTAATGTGTCGTTTATTGATTCCCGTCAATTCAGAATCGACATTTGTCATTTCTGAATTTTCACCGATTAATAAATGACCTACATCACTTTTTAATGCCATAAATTATATCAATAAAACTATCCTTAAAAATTATTTAACCCTCCTCTCAAATTTCTTTGTCGATCACTTCTAATAAAGTTTATGATTTGCGTTAGGCATCTTATTTATTGATTGCGATCTTTCTCGTGATCCGTCACATTTCCTTTTAGACTAAAGCGGAAAGAATTTTCATCAAAAACTTTTTTTTTTTTTTTTTAAGGTGAGGCCTTGCTCCTATCTTTATTAAGTAATTTATATAAGTAATTACATAAAATTTATGAAGAACTTAATTTGTATAATAACAAATAAATA